TGTTCGTATTTATCACATACTGGATAACGAAGGATGAGCGGTGAAACAAAAGCGTTTTGTTCCTCCAGGAATAGTCCACAGCGAGATCCGTAAAGTCGAGGCGTAGCACGCGCGCACTTGATGAATTGTCAATATCGGTTTATTTGAAAACACAAAGGCTCGTGTATAGAAGGAATATTATTCTACATTTTCGACTTACTTTTTTTCATGCAGAATCATGCCTTTTCGAATCTCGAACCCCCCCGTGAGCTCGGTGAGACGACTCTACATATCTGTCGTCTCGTTTTACTTGTGGTTATCCATCGATTGAGCAAGAAATCTCCCAGATTTCTCAATCAATGACGTTCTCGACGAAACTCAATGAAATGTGCGAATTATTCGCGCCTTCTTCCTCGTTGCCGGTTTCTCTATCGCGATCGCACAAATACACACACGCTCGGACGTGCCACTGAGATCCACGCTGATTATTTGATGAGGATGTCGTTTCGTTGGGATAGGAATTGCATCCTGCGAGAGACGACGTTACGTAAGGATCGTATTCAGGGAGACCGAGGCCGGTTCAAGTCGGATCGATCTCGCACGGTCGTTCGCGTGGGATAAACGCGGCGGAAAAGACACGAGACGAGACACAGCATGAATACGATTTCTCAGGAAGGTGATATTCTACGCGTCGCCTGTTGCGAAACTAATTAATAACATACATGCCCGCGTGGCTCGAGGCCGCGAATGTCCATCGATCCTTCGTTCGAACGACGCGTTCGTACGCGCGAAAATGCACGGACGAGAACGGAACGCGAACGAGGTAGTTGCGTGGAAACGCGTGGAAATATTCGACGCGAACGCGAGTTGCAACGACGATATTACATTGTGCGGCGCACAATTGTTGAATTGTGATCCCGAGATAAGCGACACGTCACGTCACGGCACGAGCTCTGATCACCCTGATCGGGCTTTTCGTGGCAATCGTTAATCATAAAGACGGCAATTAGGTCGACGCGGTTCATCGAAATTCTCGCTGTGTGATTTCGTATCATCATGTACATCGCTCCTCTCAGCCAACAGCACCTCGATTTATTTTCTATCGCGGCCATCGATCCCAACAACCACGAGCGTCTACCCCGAAATTACCACCACCGCCACCGTCACTACCACCATCACCACCACCACCACCACCATCACCACCACCACCACCGCCACCGTCACTACCATCACTACCAGAGTCGCAGGAGTTTATACAAAAGTATTCTTTTTTTCTCCAATGTACAAATATTCTTTTCCAATACAAATATTATTTTCCATCGAAGTGTGCGAACGCGCGCAGCAGCAAAACACACTCGACGCTCCAATCGACGTAAAAAAAAAAAAAAAAAAAAAAAAAAAAGGAAGAGCAGGAAAAGAGACACACACAGAAAACGAAATCAAATATCCGAATCAACGTGGCATACGGCATATGATGAGAAGAAGGATTACGGTGGACGAGAAAACGAGAGAGGATGACGCACGTTGTGCGTTGTCGGATCGGGCGAACGTACGACGACGACAGTGGCGCTTCTGCACGAGTCATGATATACGTATAACGCCTGTGCTTTTTGACTTGCAAGCAATTATGGATGACAAAAAGGGGGTGGACGGGCGGGTGGGCTTTGGGAAGAAAGAAGGGGCGAGTGATCGCAAAGTCGTCAACGACGCGTTGTCAGCGGGGATGGGGCTGTGTTGTACCAATCTGTTCGTTATTTTAGCCCGCACCAGCCAGCTCGTGTTACGTAGGTGGCAATTAGTACAATTTGACGCGTCACGGTGGCCCATTGTTCGTGCTTTTTTCCCATGTAGTCCGAGTATACGCGCTCGCTTGCCATGTCGACGGATGATGACCGGCTCCTCGGTCATGCGTGCGAATCTGCCGTTTTCGTGTCGCGCCTTACAAAACGCGCACCCGCGCGGTCGCGTATCCGCAAATTGCGACTTTTTAGCTCGCGAGCGCGCGAGCGCGCTCGCGTGCGAAGTGCATCGGAGCGCGCAGCGGCAGCACCCGCTGGAAATGTACCCTCGCCGCGCTCTTCCGAGCTGGGCTCTCGGAGAAAGAGAAAGGGAGGAAAAAGGGCCACGCGTTACGAAGTCTGGCCAACGAGATCTACCGTGCGAAGGTTTCGCTATCGCTTCGCGAGATCCGGTCGGCAAATGCCGTAGCTTCGGTTGTGTTGCGCCCGACTAGAAATTTTGATCAGGTTCACCTAACATTAATAAGGATGAGTGAAAGGTAATCCTAAGTAAATCAGTCCTTATAATGTCTTAACGATAAATGAGTAAGGAAGACTTTTATAATGTTTTTATAAGGTTATAATGATTGGGTCCGCATTAGGACCTTAATGTATCAACCTAGTGTATGATATAATATGGTTCAGTTAATCAGGTCCTTGTCGGGATCTTATTCATTGCACCTAATATGATTTGCATTATCACGTTTTAGCAAAACAATTTTTGGATGTCATTTACAAGTAGAAAAATGTTTGCATTGAAAAAACACTTCAGATCACTTGAATATATTTGTAAAATGCTATAGAAACTATCCTTTTTTTAGCAGTCAATAAATAGTTGTTAAATTAACGTGACATGCAACTTTCCTCTTTAACACTACTTTATGTCTTGTGATACTTTACGATCTTATGATATTCATTTTATGTTTCTTTTCCGAAACATTTTACAAGTATGCTCAAGCGATCTAAAATATTATTTAATGCAAATATCTTTTTGTTTGGAAATGACATGAAAGAATTTTCAGCGTGTCATTTCTTATTTCTAATGTCATCATCCGATGAAGCCGTGGCGAGTAATCAGGAGCCATAATTTGAAAAAAAAGAACGTAATAAGGATTCCATAAGGTAACTCAATAAGGACCTGACTATGAATCCTTACTAAGATCCTGATATCCACACTGCGTTACATGACTTGCTAGGACCCGATAGTATTACCTTATTGGGACCTGATGAGGTCCAAATGAGGTTAACCTGGGATCAGAACTATGGGATAAATTTCTAGTCGGGCGGGAGCTTGCGAGAGACGGCTCTTCGGGTCGCCGACGATTTCGTTGACGATCGTCGGAGAACGAATCACCTTGTAGACGCAGAATCGGATAATTATCTGAAAGGTGACAGACGGCAGCAGAGGCGAGGGAATCATATCTCGATTGAGCACAAGGTCGGGGAGTAACGGGGGTTACTTGTAAGATCGTTGTCGCGTTACGCGTTATTTTTCCTTTTTCTATACAACGACTCGGTTAACGACGTTATTTCCTCTTGCTCGTGAAGCTGACGCGATTACATTTCGGCTAACGGTAATGCATATTGCTCTTCTACCGGTGAGAAAAAGACTTCTCCGCTGAAGACGCAAGGAGAGTGCTGCGATGACTTCCTTCCACGGATAACGCTAACGAGTTACGTTCAAACAGTAACTTTCTCAAGCCCGATTGAGCACGGTATCGACCGTTTTTCGCCGTTGCTGATAAAAGAAACACATGGCTAACAATCCCCGGCAAACTTTCGCAAGCTCCTTTGTATGCGGTCTCGGCGCACACGGCCGAGGGCGCTTTCGCGAAAAATCCGAGCGCGAACGGCAATACGTGCATCGCGCACGTCGAGGAAATCACCGAGAGCGCGTCCAAGGACGCCTGGAAAATTTAATCGCGACGGCGCGTTAAAATCTCTCGACCGGCACGTCGCCGTAAGTTTCAAACGACGCGCAACGCGCCCGGCACGACCGAGCAACTTCGTTAGCAAGAACCTCGTTCCTCCGGGGAGGCACTTCGGGATCGAGCTGGCCCCCCCCCCTCCGCCCCGCCCCGGCGATAGCCGAGAGAGCACAGAGAGTGCCAAGTGGTGGACGAGATCGCCGCGATCAGGCGATGCGAAACTTCTCAAGCGCTCGCAACTCGGAAGGGCTGGCGAGGGTGAATAACGCTCCCCGTGAGTAACGCGATTATCGCGCCGCGGATATCGCACAAGCGGCCGCCGCTTTTGACGTCCGCTCTTATCCGAGCGATCGGATTCCGTCCACATGGAGGCGCAGCGAAAGTTTCGAAGCGAGGAGGACGAAGAACCCGAAAAGTCACGAACACCTCTCCCTCAGCGTGCTTACGCCAGCACTCGATGTCCGTGCCTCTGCTACAGAGTCTCGACGTGACAAAACGCTTATATCACTCTCTCACACACACACACACACACACACACACATACACACACATACACACACGCACGCACGCACACGCACATGCATACACATACACACACATGGACCTGAAGCCGCGGAATCGTCGGGGAACCCACGCTGAGCTCCGCACCTCGTTGTACATATGTGTGCACGTGCCGACAAGGAATGTTCCTTTTTCCATCACGTCTGCCTCACGTTAATAACACCCTCTTACTTTGCTCGATCACTCGCTGTTGCCGCCCGCTGACAATGCTCTCTCGCTCAGGAATGGCCGATTCACGCTCATGTGCAGACGTGCTGGCGATCTTAGAGTGCAATTTCGCCCCTCACAGCGAGTCGGGGAAGGAACCGCGGTCGCGCGGGACTGTCATCGGCGACAATGTTATTCTCCTCTCGCGATCAAAAGAGCGGAGGCATGTTTTAATTGCGTATACACACGCGGGTTGTCCGCTCTTATCGCAATAGCAGATTCTCTCGACGTTCATCGACCTGCTGCTGAAAGAAATTAGTACGACAAAAGTGGGATCTGTACATAGAATGTTTCACCTCAAGTAGCTTAGCACTAAAAAAAAAAAAAGAAGAAAAAAATTAACACGCTGTACATATGAAGCGGTGAATTTGAGGAGTTTTTAAAAACTAGCTGCAAAAACTAGCTGTTTGATGTAGTGAATGGCGTCGAATTGGACTTGAAGAACGCCAGTGTCGCGCACAGCTTTCCAATGTTGCGTAAGCACTAGTATTCGGTATTAACGGACGTTGACGACGATCGAAATTGACGAATTTCTTGTGTTGTATAGGGCAAGTTTTTCTATTGTACCGACGCATCGAAAATGACGAAGAACGACTGCCAGTAAGTGACGATTGTGTATTGTAAAGCAAACAGTTACGTCGCGCGCAACGTAATAAGGAGACGAGAGAAAAGTGAGATCCCCTTAATGCGTTCGCGGACAATCGGGAATTTCGAAGTGAGCGCACTTTTCGCGGTACGGTGCAAGCTGTTTTCCCTTTGCAGGGGCACCTATTTGGAATTCGAAAACGGTAACATCAATAAGCCGATCGTGAAGGAGCGAGCGTGGCTGCAGTATCGTTTTCACTTCGATGACGTTGCCAAGGCGATGCTGACCCTCTTCACGGTCTCGACTTTCGAAGGTTGGCCATCGTAAGTATACTTTACTTGCATTGTACGTCGAGGCACACGCTGATTCCGTGACTCTGTCGCGAATTAAATACAGCAGCTGGCTGGCTGCGGATGCAAACTTTAGCTTTGCGACAGTTCGACCGAGATACGATAAAGTTTCCGCGGGGAAACTAGTTTCTCGCATTTTTCTCTCTCGTGTATCCTTCGTTACTTCCTCGGACCGTTTCTTTCGCTTCTTCCCTGAGTCGGATCGGTGTCTCGTTTCCCGGGTCACTTCGACAAATGGAGCTTCACCACGACGATACTGCGAGAGACCAAGCGGTTGCTCGAGAGATATCGAAATATTAATTAATGATATTGTCCGCGCCCGCTCGCAGACTGTTAGAGTGGTCGATCGACTCCAATCAAGAGAATCATGGACCAATTCATAACTTTCGGCCGATCGTGGCCGCCTACTACATCATCTACATCATCATCATCGCGTTCTTCATGGTGAACATCTTCGTCGGTTTCGTTATTGTCACCTTCCAGAACGAGGGCGAGCAAGAGTACAAAAACTGCGAGCTCGATAAGAATCAGGTGAGCTCCTCGAGTTGAGATCGAATTTCGACACGTGACTCTCAGGATTTCTCTCAGGATACCTTGGATTATTTTTGCACGAGACTTCACCGTGTAGCGTTCGTGTTTGAGCAATTATCTTATCGTTTGCAGAGAAATTGCATCGAGTTCGCGCTGAAGGCTAAGCCAGTGCGGCGATACATACCGAAGCATCGAATACAGTACAAAGTCTGGTGGTTCGTCACCTCCCAACCCTTCGAGTACACGATATTCACATTAATCATGATCAACACCGTGACGCTCGCGATGAAGTTTTATCGGCAACCGCAAATGTACACGGAGGCCCTGGACGTCCTCAATATGATCTTCACCGCGGTATTCGCCATGGAGTTTGTGTTCAAGCTGGCAGCATTTCGATTTAAGGTACGAGCCTGATCTTCCCGACATTTCGTCATCTTATTAATTATTACGTTTTCAACGTCAATTATTAAATAGTACCGATCGCTCGTAAATCGCTCGTAAACGAAATTCACACGGCTGTTAACGGCAGTCATCAATCGTCAACGGACGGAGAACCGACTGAGCAGACCGTAAAGGTGTCCGTTATTGCTTTGCAGAATTACTTCGGCGATGCGTGGAACGTCTTCGATTTTATTATCGTGCTCGGCAGTTTCATCGATATCGTTTATTCGGAGCTCAACGTGAGTATACGTCTTGTTGTTCGGCTCTTCGACGCGTTCAAGTCGACATTCGGGATTAACAAGTTTTAACGAGGAAGAGCGGAGCGGTCGGTAAAGTCATCTTATGATCCCGCAGCCTGGGTCCTCCATCATTTCGATCAACTTCTTCAGACTGTTTCGCGTGATGCGACTGGTCAAGCTGCTGAGCAGAGGAGAGGGCATTCGTACGCTCTTGTGGACGTTCATTAAATCCTTTCAGGCTCTGCCCTACGTCGCTCTACTTATTATAATGCTCTTCTTTATTTACGCTGTGATAGGCATGCAGGTGAGCGCGATACGCGATGCGCAAAATGTCGCGTTTCGCCCAAAGACGAGAAGGCTCACGGCCACGTTTCTCCGTAGGTCTTTGGGAAAATCGCGATCGACGACGAGACGTCGATAAATCGCAACAATAATTTCCAGTCCTTTCCACAAGCCGTGTTAGTTCTATTTCGATCGGCGACGGGTACGTATTTGATCAAACAGATCATGCAAATGTGTGTGTGTGTGTGCGTAACGCAACGGAAAATACTTTTGAAACTTAATCAGGTTGAACTCGCTTCGAGAGAAGTGAACGTTCGGCTACCATCTAGTAGCCAAATTCAACGATTCGGAGATTTAACTGCGAGATTTATTTTCGAGTAAATGTCCGTCGATCGTAATATACCATTGAACGTATCGCTGTTACGGGAGGCATAATCAAAATGTACACGACGATGTACAATGAAATGTGCACGTTTGCGAGCATAGGCGAGTCGTGGCAAGAAATCATGATGGATTGCTCAGCGCAGCCGGGCATAGTCATGTGCGATCAAAACAGCGACGAATTCAACAACCCGGTCGGCTGCGGATCGGACATTGCATTTCCCTACTTCATATCTTTCTACGTGCTCTGCTCATTTCTCGTAAGTGCAGCTTATCTCTTGGTCTTTCAACTCGCTTGACAACAACTTTGAATTCCGCGAAAATTACAATTCTCATTCCGAAAACAGATTATTAATCTCTTCGTCGCCGTTATCATGGACAACTTCGACTACTTGACGAGAGACTGGTCGATCCTCGGGCCGCACCACTTGGACGAGTTTATCCGCCTGTGGTCGGAATACGATCCTGACGCGAAAGGACGTATCAAGCATCTCGACGTGGTAACGTTGCTGAGGAAGATATCGCCGCCTCTAGGTTTTGGGAAGCTGTGTCCTCACAGGGTAGCCTGCAAGGTTGGTAAACGATTCAATCCACCAAAGGTTAGAACTATCAGCATAATTTTGAAACTTAATTCCCAGAGACTCGTCTCGATGAACATGCCGTTGAACAGCGACGGCACCGTCCTGTTCAACGCGACGTTGTTCGCTGTCGTGAGGACGTCGTTGAGGATCAAGACAGAGGGTAACATTGACGACGCGAATGCCGAGCTCAGGGCGGTGATCAAGAAGATCTGGAAGAGGACCAGTCCGAAGCTCCTGGATCAGGTCGTTCCACCGCCCGGAGGTGAGGAAGCGTCTCTGACAGAATGCGAGTTCGCTCTCTTTCGCGTGACATTAAATTGAATCGATTCTCTTTCTCTCTAGTGGACGACGAGGTGACGGTAGGCAAGTTTTACGCGACCTTCCTCATCCAGGACTACTTCCGGCGATTCAAGAAACGCAAGGAACAGGAAATGAAGGACGGCGACAAGGATTGCCACAACACCGTGACTCTTCAGGTGAGTCCCTCAAGTACTGAATCCACGATACTATTTGACACACCTACTATGGAATTCAGGCTGGGTTGAGGACGCTGCACGAGGCCGGCCCCGAGTTGAAACGCGCCATTTCCGGCAACTTGGAAGAACTCCTCGACGACAATCCGGAGCCTATGCACAGGGTGAGTCTCGTGTTTCTCGCGTATTTTACACCTATTCGGTAACGATCACGATGAACATTCACTCGTAACTCATCACGATTGATAAAACATTCTTTACCGTGTAATTTAACGGAAGAACATTTTCTTCTTTCTTTTCTTTCTTCAGAGAAACCATTCGCTCTTTGGCAGCGTGTGGTCCAGCATGCGGAAAGGACACCACAGCTTCCACAGGGCGAGGTCGTTAAAGGTTAACTCTACCGCCGCAAAGGTACGCAGGAGATCGTATTCCTTATTCGCGGAGTCGCGAGTCTTACGCTAATGGAAAGTACTTTTGCAGGCTTCCCCGACCAATTCCATAGACTTCTTGCCGTATTCCTCGTTGCAGAGGGCCGGCGGCCCGGATGCCGCTAATCAAATCACTGCGAGGTCTCACCAAGTTGTGCCAAATGTCGCGGGGTAAGTTTTCAGACATAAACAATTGAAAATAAATCAGGAAGAGGGAGAGAGAGAGGGAGCAAGGTAAAAGTTCATCAGGTAGACAGTGTCTCTCTCTCACCAGTTAATTACAAAAAAAAAGAAAAAAAAAAGAAAAGAAAAACGCTTGTTAGTGGTCTGAGCGATGGCGCGATGAATCAAATGGGGATAGACCCACGACTGACGGGCATGGAGGAGAACATACCCCTGAGACCGCTCGCTGTCTTCGGCAACCCCGTGCAACAGACGCCTTATCAGAGCACGTACAAGGTGGTCGAGTAAGTAGAAGAGCGACAAGCTGCAGCGAGTGTCTTATTTCTGTTGAGCGTTGTCCCGTGTCCGAGTGTAATCGGTGGTTACGCTCTCATCTTACGACGAACTCTCTCATTCTCTCTCGTTATCACACATCATAGCGCATGCACGATGTCCGTCCGTCCGTCCGTCCGGCCGTCCGATGCCGAGATCGAACTTCTAAGCCGGATTCGCGATTTCCTAGACTCGGTCGCGTTGGAACGTTGCGGGCGCGTCGTGTTCCCGTCTCATTCATTCCCTTCTTCGCTTTCGTCACCGGCTTTCGTCACGGACACACGTTTGCCATCGCTAACGATGTCACGAGTCTCGTCGCGACCCGACCACTCGCGGGACGTCGCGTTCTGGACGCGTAGCGGACGCTGGCCGCGCCTTTCTGATTCTCAAGCTGAAGGATGTACGTGTATGTACGTACGAAAAATGGACCTTGCGGAATCAGGAAAGCATCGGTTTAGCGCTCGGGATAAGGCCCCGGCTACTGAATCGTCCACTCGCGGAGGAAGAGCACTAGTTTCGCGTGCGAATTAGCAGCGCGGCCGACTCGCGTCGTCTCTCATCACCCTGTTCGCTTTTCTGTTTACTGTCGTACGTTTCAGTGGATCGGGTAGCGGTAACTATCTCCATCCCAATAGCGAATATGGTAAGACAAGTTAGGGCTCTCTGCGATCACAGTAGCTGGCTTCCGTTTCGTTGACCGTTTTTCGCATCTGCTTGTCTTACGCGCCTGCATGCGTTTTTCATTAATCACGCCTTGACGATGATCCCCGTTCGACTGTATGCTCCCCACGTGTCGTCTTACATGCGTGCGTGAGTGTGTGCGTGTGTGCGCGTGCGTGTGTGTGTGTGTGTGTGTGTGTGTGTGTGCGTGTGTGTGTGTGTGCGTGTGCGAGTGTGTGGGAAAGAGCGATCGGTGCGCGCACGCGCTCGCGCGACAAGGTTAAACTGGTTAAACGGGAGTCGATCCGCAAGACTGCGGCAGGACAATTAGACACGCGAGGGTCGCACACGCATCCGCAGGGGAATGCACCCTGATGAGATGGGTTTGGGTCCCGCCGTGCGTGGTAGCGCTCGTGTCCCGCTGATCGCATGTTGTTCGTATTGACTGTAGATTAACGCAACATTTTGATGATTGACCGCTTGTTGAAGCGCCCCCAAACGCCTCGACGAAAACTCGCTTTTCCATGCCGGCCACATGCTCGATAAGTAGGATATCAATCATCCTCCAAAGTGGCCTTTGAGTTGTGCGGCTGAAGCTCCACTCTCAAACTTGGTTTTCTTTCTCATATTTTAGACAAAACAATCGTAACAAGATACGTAGAGCGTATATGGATTTGAACTCTGAGTAGCGGAGATGAAAGAAGAGAGAGAGAGAGAGAGAGAGAGAGAGAGAGAGAGAGAGACTGAAAATAAGAAAGATTCGACGTCCTTAATTACGAGTTGACCAAAGACAAGCGGCTCTGGCTCTTTAAAGTTTTATATTCCGGCCTTTCTCTCTCTCTCTCTCTCTCTCTCTCTCTCTCTCTCTCTCTCTCTCTCTCTCTCTCTCTAGGAATACTCATTGACGATTTAAGGTAAAGAGACAAGCTCTTCTCAAGAGGGGTAGTTCTCGAGGCGTTTGAGGGGCGCGCGGACCTTGCCACGCGTACACGCACTTAACGTATGAAAGAGCGGCCGTTACGTTTTCTCTTTTTCTCTCTCTTTCTCTCTTTGCCCGCGCGCTGTGTGTGTGTGTGTGTGCGCTCGCTCTCGCGCGCGCGTGCACGCTCGTGCAGTCTTCAGGACGGAATCGAGCGGCAGTTGACGCCACCCACGCCTCCGCCGCGACGGAATCCACCCTCCTCGTCCACCGTCCCGAGCACCGGCACCGCTCACACTCCCGCCGCTGCGGCAGCGGCAGCGGCAGCGGCAGCAGCAGCAGCAGCAGCAGCAACAACAGCAACCGCAGCAGCATCGGCAGCAGCAGCAGCAGCAGCAACGGCGGCGGCAACGGCAACGACGGGCGCGCCGGGCGTCGCGACGACGATCGTCGCGTGCACCACGAGCACGAACACCTCGACCTCCGCGACGAGCCCGAGCCCCGCTTCCTCGTCCAACGGGACGAACTGTTACTATACCTACGCGACGCGGGGCTGCTGCGCTGATTGCGCAGTCTGGAGCAATCACGGTACGAGACCGCCGTTTCGGCGACCCCTTCTCGGTCGTTCGCGAACTCGCCCTCGCGGATGCCCTGCGACGCGGCCGACCAGTTCGGCGAGGTGGTTGCTCGATCTCGCTTCCGCGGGAGAACTTGCGGAAATTGATGCAAATTTCCCTCGCCCCTCGGCACACCCTCGGGAGTCACCGTTGGTCACCACTTTGATTTCTGCTCTCTGGGCTTGGGAAACAATGCGCGCGCTACTAATGCAATCACATTTGTTGGACAATGTGGTGTTTTCTTCTCCTCTTTCTTTCAACTACTTCTCCATTTCTGAAGGTTTCATCATTCTGTAAAATTCCATTCTTTTTTACTCCATCTGAGGAAATTTTTCTTTTGTTCTAAAGAATGGGGAGAAAATGTACTGATTTCTTTTTCAACGAAGTGATTGAATATCTCAATTCAATTAACATATTACGACGATGTGCCGAGGGTTATAAAAAAGGGAAACTAAATTCGAAATAAGTTTAGATTGATCTCTCCGAGTACTCTCTCGGGGAAGAGAGTTGGCGCAACGTTGCGCTGAGCTGTTCGACCGTGCGAGGGCATCACCGGGAGCTTTGGTTCTTATGGAAGTATTCTGGAAGTGGTCATCAGTCGCGTCATCAGTCATCGTGTGATTTCTCAAAGGTTCAACGGTGTGTAAGGCGACGCGATTAGGTCCCGGGGTTGAGAGGCGCGACGGTTAAGCGGCAGTTCGAGAGCTTGTGCGAATTTACAATCGGCTATCGAGGGTAGATGTAAAGACGCTTTGGACGCTTTCGCTCCTCTGGAAGTTTGAAGTAGCGGGAAGTTTAGCGTAGGTCTAGCGCAGGATTAATGTTACACGTCGTGGCTCAAGATATTAGAATGGACGTAACGCATGTTCTAGTGTCTCGGTGTGTTCTCAGTATCAGTATATATGATTTAGCTAGCTCGATATTCTCCAATGAATATAGACCCACCCGAACCGTGTGCCGTCGTATTCGCCCTCGATCGGACAGAAAAAGAAAGAGATAACATTGAAGACGAACGGAGAGGAGCGTCCAGGATATCAGTCTGTGAGACATTTTTAGAGGCCTCCGTGTACCATCCGCCCCCCCCCCTCCCCGCCCTCCCGTATCTTTCTCGTCCAGTTGTCTTCTCTCATCTATATATATATTTCTATGTACAAGAGTAATTGCTGAATGTATGCTAAAATGGCAGGCAAAGATCAAGCGTTCCCCCCCCCCATCTCTGTGCTGGCGTGAAGGAGCCTGGCGAAACAATCGATTCCCCGTTGATTACCGCGCGAGATCGGTTCGGTCTCGAGCGAGACTTCACTCGATGAAATGAATTCAGATTCATGACGCGGCTCTCGTTAGCCGCGTTAATGCTTCTCCGTCGCCCCGACTGATTGGCCATTTCAATCGTCCGTCCCCTCATGCACTCGCATGCACTCGAAATCCGTTCGCCAGCACAGCGAAGCTCACGCAGAGATAGACTCCTAAGAAGCAGCTTTCTCTCACTGATCAAACAACCCCGTGCCCGCTCGCACGCAGCCGTAGACGACTGTGACGACGAGGACACGACTACGGGGAGCGTGTCGAGCGACTCCGGCAGATGGAATCATTCGGAGGGTGCCGTGGTGCGCGGCGCAGGAAGGCGCCACCTCACAATGCTGAGCCGCTCGTCGAAGCGCCGGGGTCGTCGTCGCGACGCCGACGCCGCGACCGCCGGCGGCAAGTCGGCCCCGGCGAGCTTCCGGTCGCGCGACGTGGCCGACGCCGACGCCGACGCCGGTGCCGCCACGTCGGCTGATCAGTCGGGCTCGGCGGCCCCGTCGAGCCCTGGCGCCCGCACCGTTGCCAACGGCCTGAAAATGGCACAGTCTCAGGCGATCGCCGTGGCCGGCTTCCTCGCCGACGTCGACTCGCGGCAATGGCGCGTCTACGCTTCCTGCTTCTCGCACCGAGCGTCTTACCACGGCAGAGGTGACTAAAAAGAACGCGATTTGACCCTCCGCGCTCCGTGCAGCACCGATATCGATATCGATCGCGTTGTCGATCGCGGAGGATCAACATCGCCGAAGGATTTCAGTCAAATGACTTTACTCTTCCACGTCACGTTGGATTTCCTTGGATTCGTCCGCGCTCGTCCAAATGACATTCCCACTTTAAGCTTCCCTCCGATTCTTTCTCAAAAATTCCGCAAAATTGCTGCAAGTATCATTACGAAGAGTAAGTCAAAGAGACAAGATAAAAAACAGCCCGAAATATCCTAAGAGGATCGGACGAATGAAGAGTAACGCAAAGTGGCGCAAAGTTGACTGATGCAAGATGAAGAGTCTCGGGTACTCCGGGTGCAGTCACTCTTCATTCGAACGATCCCCCAGCCTCGGGAGATCTCCCGAGAGGAATCGACGGAAGTCGACGAAGAGAGACGTGGACACCTCAAGGTGGTCAACCGCTGCTCGAAGCACGCGCTCTGCCAGCTTTCCAACTAACATTCTCTAACGCTGATTCGACATTTCTCTGTCTAATTTCGCTTTTACTAACCGCAACTCGGCTCACCTAACACCAGAGAACCGGCGAAGCTTGAGAGACGCACTCGTATGTCACTCGTCAGTGTGTGTGTCTGTGCGCTGTACTCGTTGAAAAGCCAATCGAGCCGATTGCGCGAGCGAGAGAGCATCGGAATAATAAGGAGGCAGGGCGTGACGGTTCGAGCTAAAACTCTGACGCCTCTCCTCGTTCGTCAGTTCCCTGGGCCGCAGAGAGTAACGGAAGCATCGGCGCAGAGCGCCTGTCCCACAGCCTGCCCGGGAGTCCCGCGGACCGGAAGCCGAATTTCGAGGTCATCGGCAGCGCGGAGAGTCTCGTCGGTCGGGTGAGTTTTCAAACGAGCGACTTAGCGAGCATCGAAAGCACGGCTGTCATCGCGGTTGTCCCCCTCCTGTGTAACCGACTGGAAATCAGCGGGAAATCAGCCGTGATCAAACGCGTACGCGTGGAACGTGATGATGTAAAAGTCGACGCGGTGGAGTTAATCCACCGCGAAGTGCGCGCGACAGTAACGCGTCGGGAAATTTGCGCGGACGAACTTGTTGAATCTCGATCTAACTGAAGCGAGTTCACAGCAACAAAACAAGATCTTCGAGGCCCGAGATTTGAGCTTGAAGATCTGACTTTTCGAGTAACAGTAAACTTCCAAGAGAGAGGACGACGAGTTACGTTTCCCCAAGCGGGGATGACCGTGCAGAATGTTAACATTTTAAAGAGGCAACTTCGCCCAACTTCGCTCTCATATCTCTAACGTCGGTCGCGCCTCAGGTGCTGGTGGAGCAAGGTCTCGGCAAGTACTGCGACCCGGACTTCGTGCGCTACACGTCGCGCGAGATGCAGGAGGCGCTGGACATGACGCGGGAGGAGATGGACCGGGCGGCGCACCAGCTGCTGCTGCAGGAGCGACGCGGTCAGCCGTTGTCTTATCAGCTGCAACAAGGTATGGAGCAGCCGTGGGGCCAGCAAACGACCGGCATCAGCTACCAGCCGTTGCAGGAACAGCCGTCGATAGGCGGCGGCCAGCCCTCCGTCTACCCTCCGCAGGGTGGCTACCACCAGCTTCGCAGCAGCAGCAGCAGCAGCAACCGGCAGCAGCAACAGCAGCGGCAACAGCGACAGCCGCCGTCCTAGCAGGACGAGAAGTCGCAAGCGATGCGAACATCGTCCACGTAACCCGAGAACATTTCTCCTCCTCCTCCTCCTCCTCCTCCGCCACCTCTACCACCTCCTCCTCTCCCGTCCCTGCATCCGCATTCGCGGAGTAGTCGCCGAAGAATCGAAACCGTCGTCGCGGAGATCGACGAGTCGCGATGAGCGGTTGCGCGAATCAACGCGAAGTCACCAGCGGGATTCCGGCGGACCGGAACCGCGGACCGCGGATTTCGACCGATATCGTTGTCGCGTTGGTGCTCGGACAGCTCGAGACGACGCTTCGGACCGTTCTCAGCCTGCGAGGAGGAAATGCGGAAATGCTTTAGCGACGGAAACGGTGACTCGTCGGTTCTCAGGAGGGCGGAGAAGCTCGCGGAAACGTCGCGACGACGAGTTTTTCTCTAGCCGTCGACCTCTCGTCCTCTGACACGATCGCGTGCGTGTTCGGCCGCCGATGTCGCTCGACGGGTGTTTTCTAGCTGATTTCGTCTTGTACCGGGCGGAGTTCCGAAGTTCTGCTTGTTCCGGTGACACGAGGATGTGCGCGATTTGTATTTTCACCGCGATGAGAGAGAGAGGACCGTCGTCGTTGTCTTTCGACGTCGGACGATCGCGAGAGCGAAAAAGATAAGCGACGAAGCACCTCGGGATCATTCAGGCTCCCGAGACGGAATTGAGTTTACTTCCTCAGAAATCTCAGAAACAGTTTTTTAGAGATCCCCGTTTAACGTCGATCTCCGTTCTCGGTTCGGCTCGTCCCGACAGGAACCACACGACGGACGTCGTGCGTATTCTCTGTACCGGAAACGAACGAATCGAAATGAGGCAGAGAGAAAGAGCGGCGATTTGCTCTGCGAGCTCCGTGTTTTCTGTCTTGACAATTGGCCCTCGCGTGCTCGAAATCTGTCGCACGCTCACCTATCTCTGTCCACGTCAATTTTGATAAAGAAAGAAGGCAACGAAGAAAAGAGAAGGAGAGAGACTCTTCTTCAGAATTAATAGTCGACCGCGTCGCTAAATGACGCGAGTCATTTGCTACGGGATGACATTGGAAAAATTAAAGGGGATCGGGGAAAAAAAAATGATGTGAAACAAATCTTTCTCTCTTGATCACTTCGATCGGTCTGTTTCCCCAGCAGCGATCCAGTACCCTCTTTTACGGGGCTCGTCGCCCGTTAAACCTTTATGGCACAATTTATATAGAATACTTATTATTATTCTCTAAGTAAACACCTTACACTTGCGACGCGATAACTTCCTACCAATTCACTATAATTATCCATTGGACGTTAGAATCTCCTTTCTAATAGGCGAGTCTCGCACGAGCGAGCTGTGCATCCGCGAGGATGCACATGTGCTTAAAAAAAAATAATTCGGGCCACAAAGCGTTAAAGGAGGGTAAAAAGTACGAACGATGCTGCGTGCACGCACGCACGCACGCACGCACGCACGCACGCACACATGCGCACACACACACATGCACACATACACAACGCCCGCGCGTGCATATGTGTGTGTGTATGTGTGTATGTGTGTGTGTGTGTGTGTGTGTGTGTTTGCGTAAGAGAGATTAGTGCGGATATATGATCGCTCCTCTTATTTGCTCTCATTAATTACTAGTATCGTTGGCCCTTGTTCTGATGAATTACTACGGTTAATACGGTTATTACTAGTCAGGATTACAACTCATGATTACGATTCGTACGATGGATTCTAGATGAGATAACAAGTGCCTAAGTATCTATAACTTCTTTCGGACCAGAGAAGACTTTTATCAACTTAGACAAAGTACGACTATTATTGCGAGTTATTGCGAGGAAGAGCTGCGAGTCGAGTGTGTACACTGCTGATGTTGTGACGATATAGATATTATTATTCGTATGTAATTGTGTACATAACACACACGTTGCGCGTATATTTCCGCTGATGCGTTGAGGATGAATGGCCGATAAATAGTGCTGCGCGAAATATATATATATATATGTATATACATATATATACATATATATGTGTATATATATAATCTCAAATATATATATATATGTATAATATATATATATATATATACACACACACATATATATATATTGGAGACTATATATATAAATATTATATTATATATTATATATCTAGATGGCAATCTCTATACAAACGTGGGTAAGGGCAAGGGGACATGGGGGAAGGGTGAATGATTAAATAGATAAGACGCGCGCGATGTTCTCCAGGTGGGGATCTCGCGACGCGCCTCGTCGGTTTTTATTGTGTAAAATACTTGTACGTGACGGTCGAACACGCAAGTCTAGATCGCGAATGACGGATCGTCGAATCTCTCTTAACCCGATTACACCCACTCGTGCATGCTCAACGGTACGGAGAGCCTTACAAAAGCCACTTAGTCTGATCTCCGGGCGGGGAGCGCGTGGTTTGCGAGAGATTTACCGAGCGATTCGATCGGCGATCGTCGCGATTCAGTTGAGCCGAAAGTTACTCCACCTGGTCCGTACGTCGCATCGATAACGTCGTAAATGAAAAAAAAAAAAAAAGAAAAAGAAAAGAGAAACAAAAGTAATCGCAACAACGAGATAGAGATTCGCGAATTTCTTTTATTTTTTTTTGCGGGAAGACGCGATTGTCAAGTCGATCGCGTCGCGGAAATCACGGGACAATTGGATGCAAATCGCACCCTTTCATACCGATCTGCGAACGAGTTTGCGCGAGATTACCGCGAGCGAGAAATCGGCTCGCGATAGAATCTTCACACGACGAGGGCGATGTGCGCGGTTTTTCACCGGGAAATAAATCTTTCGGAAATAGCGCGAATCCCTCATTCGCGCGGCAGCTTCACTCGCGAATGAACGAGCGAACGGCACGATCTCCGATTTTTCCCAACCGATTTTTTCAAGCGGGAGAAATCCGCGAATTTGCCGACGTGTGAGTCATGCCACGTGAGTGACTTTTGATTGAAACAGAACGCGCGAGATCGGTGGCGCGGCGGAGGACAGGGGGGAGGGCACCGGAGGCATAAACACTGAAAACTACGTAAATGTTACTTATAGTCGTTGACAAATTTTTAAGCTCTCGTAAATTTTATAAGTACTCAATCGTGCGTGGTTCTGGAGATTTGTCGCGAGCTTCGATTCTTTTCCCCGATTTGTATACAACCCCGGAGCGCCGTGAGGCGAGGTTCGGCCGCGCGGAATGTCTATTAGCAAGCTAATTAGGATGTCCGGTCGATGAATTTCGGAGGGGGAGACCGCGAGTCTCGCGAGTTCCGATCGAGCGAGACGCAAAGCGGCCGATTAACAAATCCGTTCACTCGGACTAGTTTCGGATACTTTCAGAACCACGTTCCTCTCGAAAGCCTCTTGGCGTCTACGACCAAAATGCGAACTCCACTCTCTCTCTCTCTCTCTATTTTTTACGCACTTTTTCTCGGCGAATTGTCCCATTCAGCAAGAAAAACAAAACAGTCCGTCTATCTTCCCGCCTTGCGTTTTACCTTTTCTTTCGACGTTGTGCAAAACACTATAAGCCAAAAAGCCGTTGCTTGCACTGGCGAGCGTCGTAGGGATCGAGACGATCGCTACGAACGATCGATGGTTCGCTCATTTCTCGTCCCTCACCTTTGCTTTACCTAACCCGGAATCGTCGTCGATTGCGTTGCACGTCCCACGTTTGACAGGTGTATGTTGCTTTCACTTAAGTTTCTCCTCCTTCCGTTCGGCTCTTCACACCTCTTCACAGAGTGAACGACCGAACGAAATCGCTCTCTCTCTCTCTCTCTCTCTCTCTAATACGAGGTACATATAATATAGATACATACACATACATACATCGCATACATACGTATATGCCAAATTAGAAGAGTCGGAGACGATAACCGAGCAAATAAGTGTAAAAATCAGAGACTACGGGTCCGAACATGACCAAGTAGTGGCAGCAGAATTTTTTACGCTCTGTAAAGTAAATAGAGTCCGCCGCCGTTTGTTCTTCTCACGACGAGGACAAATACAAAGGAGACAAAAGTGACTAAGTAAATAAATAAATAAATAAATAGACAAACAAACAAACAAACAAACAAATGGAGCGTCACGGTCCAGAACCACTAATGTTTAAAATCCGAAGTCTGTTTATATCTTATGATGTCTGAATAAAAATTGTCATAGCAATTAACCACCCGTGCAATCAATCGATCTTTTTCGCTTATAGTCCACACTCGAAGACATGTACACACGCATACATAAAACGTACGTTCGGTTAGGACGTGAAAAGATCGACGAGACGATCCAGGAAGAGGAGAGTACGTCGTTGGATTCTACGGGACGGATTGTCCGGCTTTTCGGCGACAAGATTTCGGCGAAAAGATTGATCGGAAACTCCGCGACTTGAACGCGGGGGAGGAATTAACTGTACGTTTCCGCTTCGCGAGAAGACGTTAAACGCGTCTTTCTCCCGCGCACTCCGTTTTTTGGCGTCTTTTTAACGACGCGAGGCGTCCTTTACCAACGGCTGTCTTTTTATACCATTTTAGAGTGAATCAGAATTTACATCGAAACGTAGATTACTGTACGTTCTGGCATCACTTGCGATAAATCTCCATAGAATAGAATTATAGCTCTCTTTCTCTCTCTCTCTCTCTCTCTCTCTCTCTCTCTCTCTCTCTCTCTCTTTCTCTGCTGTATTATCACAATGCGCTAAAGTTTATCGTAAATGTATGCGTCGCGCGTACGTAAGTAGTCGCGCACAGAGAGACCAAAATGTTCCATCCCGTGAGACTGAACAAACGATCAGGGAGGCTGAGAGTAACGAAGAGTCGCCGTGGAGAGAACTAGCGGGGAAAAACACGACAGGGGCAAGCAGGACTCTCGCAGGAGAGTCGACGCGAGATTCGTCGAGGAACGAACCTGTATCCCCGAGGTATTTTTTTCTCTCGCTTGCAGGGCATCTTGTATAAAAATCGCGACTGTAGATACACGTGTGTGCATGTTTTTCTAAGACGCGTAGAGAACGCCAAGATTCAGCAGGACCAATCGCATATTTCTACTGTACTTAACAGGTCGTCGACAGGATTGTCCCGATCCATTTGTTATACCGACTATGCTCGATTCGTTCAGAGGCAAAAAAAAAAAAAAAAAAAAAAAAAGCAGAAAAAAAATTTGAACGATCGACTTTGACAGCCGGGAATTGATATTAACGGGCAAACACGAGATGATTATGTATGATATTAATTACGTTAATTATTAACGGGGATAATAGAGTTGGGCGCCGGGTGTAGTGTGAGCGTAACAAGTATAAAGAACGTCGAGAGCGGCGTGCGAGAAACCCGCCCGCTACGTAGGCTTAGCGATAACGGAACAAAGTGCACAATAATTATATTCATCTACCCAATTTAGATTATCTCTTAGTGACGTATACACTGCGGACACGCGCCGAAGGACACACGTCGTCGTCTTAATTATATTCGCCGCTCGTAAGTTTATAGCAGCGCGCATAACGCTCCATGTGTTTCGATATGGGATACTCTGAGCACATTTGGAATGTTGAAGTGTGAAGTGAAAAATAGGAAATAAAACTGAACGGTGGTTGAAACGAGATTTCCTTTGCGAAATCCCCTCACGCGTATCTGAGGAGGCTCAGTACTTACCCACGGAAAACAATTTTTTTTCTTAATAATTTTCAGTTAACAGCGAAAGGCTGTTTGTGAAACATTGCTTGCAAGTTTAGCAAGGATATAATGATGATTCTCACGGATTTTAGCCCAAATAAAAATAATAAAATAATTTTCACGTATCTTAAAAGCAATTTCTGGGTCGGCGGAGGGGGGGGGGAGAGGGGCCGGACATAAGGGGGAACGGGGTAGAATTTTCACGTTTGGCTGGAACATTGTAAGGATCGATAAAGGATTCGGTACTCACAGAGAGGACGGAGTTTAACAGGAACTTTCCAGCAATGGGTCCGAGGTATCTCTTAAAATCTTCTCGTTTATTTTTATAAAGTCCGCCGTTTTCTCTGTCTCTCAATCCTTTCCTTTCGTCCTTTTCATCTCCTCTCGACGGCTGGCAGCAGTTTCTCTCTATCTTACAGTGCGTACACCAAGTGTAGGTCGGTTGTGAAACCACATCTTGCAAAAGGAAAATTACACGATTCCCTTCTAGGTTGCAAGCTTCTGCGCATGGAAGTTAATGATCGGCAGCACGGTTTCGGAGGTACATCCATCGCGCAGCGCATAGGAATAAAATACGGTGCCACGGTGGTGATTTCAAGTGATGACCACGTCACGGGGGGACACCTCGTCGAGCTGTTCCCGTATGCTCCGTGCAGCTCGTGCACGTGTCGACTGTAGCAAGGCACAGATATGCGCGCGAACTGGCACTCAATCGAAGCTAAGGTAGTCGCCCAGTCACGAATTTTGCGATTATAATCCATCCATTTATGCGTCGGGGAACGATCGATCGTCGGATCGCGATCGCTCGCAAACTAGAGTTCAATAAATTATGAGGAAATTTCGGCTTAGCGCGCAGCTAATATTATTTCATCACCTGCGCCGCCTTCTTCGCCTTCACCAATTCCACTAGTTCCTGCAATCAAAAATAAAGAAAGGAATAATAATTTGTTGTGCTGCTTGTACGTGAATTTTGTTCGTGAATTACGCGATTTTTCTTCTACGTTACGTAACGCACGGAATGATTTTCTCGACTCTATTTTATCTCGCTATGCAATTTTTCTCTCTGTCCTTTTATGAGTACATTTTGTTCTGTTACGCGTCTTGTTTCGACGTTCAGCTAACAATGTATCTCTTACATGTACTTTTTCACGCACTTTTATAAAATTATGAAGTCGTAGAATGCGCGTCGCGTGATTGTGATATGCTACATAATAATTTCTGTTCTGTTTTTAAGACGCTTACCTTGTACCTTCTCATGCACTCCTTTTTCGTCCTAGTGGGTAGACACGCTGCAATCTGATCCCACCTGTCCGGAACCGTGGTGGGATAAGTTTTCAGCGCTTGCTCCAGGAGCTTCTGTTCCGCCGGTGTCCACGGCGATGGCTCCTTCTTCGATTCCTTGGATTCTGTCGCAACACCATTTGCAATCGGGTGATCCAGGCGTTCTGTAACGGCTGGCATTCTCTCCTCAATTGCCTCCTTGCTCTTCTTCTCCGCGATGAAGTTATCAAAGGCCCTCTTGTTTGCTTGCTCCTTCAGACTCGATTTACTGAAGTCGGTTGACTGTAAGCTCTTGGCCTTTGCCAAGACTTCCTTAGCTTCGCGAGTGACCCCGTTGGTGGAACTACTGTGCTGGTTGATGAAATTTGCCACCACGTCCCAACGTTGATTGGTGCCGGCGGGGAACAGATTGACCGCCTTGATCAGCAGCTGCAGGTCATTCTCGCTCCAAGGAGCAGTGCACGTCTTGGTTTGTTTCTCTGGTGTGTTTCTCGCGTCGTTGTTCATCACGTTCACTCGACGCTCTGCTTCGATATGCCGCTCAGTTTCCTCAACGATGCTGAGGAACGCGCTTCTGCCGTCAGTGTGCAGCTTCTTCATCGCTTCCTCCAGCTGCACCAGCTTGAATAGCTCGCAAATCTTCTCCACACTCTCCATGTGCCGAATATTCTCTGTTGAGCTCTCGGCGAAGTAATTGTTCGCTTTGCAGAAGTCCCTAAGCGCCTTCCTCTCTTTGCGCAGCGCTTTTTTTTGCGCCTCTCGCTCTTGTTTCAACGCCTCCATCTTCGCTCTCTCCTCAGTTTCCCTCTTCTCCTTCTCCAACCTCTCCTTCTCTGCCGCGTTCTTGGCTATTCTTTCTTCTTCTTGTTGCCTGGCTTTCGCAGCTTCTTGCTTCGCCCTCTTCGCGGCATTTTTCTTATCTTTGTCATCCTGCTGGAATTTTTTTATCCTAGGATCTATATTGTAAGCCGTATCCACTAGAGTGCGTATCCGTGCCATCTCCTCTTTCTTTCGTTTAGCTCTCGTTGCTTTGTTCTTCTTCTCGATCCATTTACGCATGTCTCGGCTGCAACAAATACCGTTATTAGCATGCTTCGCGAAGTGCTTCAATCTAAACGTCACTCAATCATCGATTTTTCAACAAGAATTACTTACTCTTGACCGCTTTCCTTATCTTCTTCGTCGAGGTATGAGTACTCGCGCCACGAGTCGAAGTCATACCAAAACGAATAAAATTTTTCCACCTTGTCTCGCGGCGTGAAAGGACCACCTAATTGTGGCACGGGTTTCTTCACAGACCACCGTGAGTTCTCTTTGAACGTTTTGCCCAATACCTCATAGAAATTATTCCGGCAGTCCTTTTCTTCCGGCAGATTGTCGTTAAAGTAAGGATCAACACTGTCGTAGCTCCGTCTCTTTGCTTGGTTACCCAGAATCTCCCAAGCTCGTGTTATACATGTAAAATAGTCGTCATCTGGTCGAATTTCCTCGCCCATTGCCTTGCGTTTATCAGGATGATGTTTCAAGATCTTCTGCTTATCTATAATCCATATATTAAATATTTTTTTTAGTACATGTTATTTGTACCATTAGTGCAAATGTTGAAGCAATATGTAATACCTGTCTTAGCTGAATATACAATACGTACAAGCTCTCTTGATAATATCTTCCGTGGATCTATGTCTGAGATTCTTCAAGCCTAGAACAGCGTAATGATCCTGATCCTTCCAGTCCCTTGGGTCCAGTGACCGAAGGAAATCGAGGTCGTCCTCAAACTGATATTGGGACAAATCCTCCTCCTCGTCCGACGACTCCGAGATGCTGCCGCGCGTAAGACTGCGATGGAACTGAATTCGCCATGCCAAGGCGGTCGAATATAAAACTACTGGGCCCGCTGTGCTGGTGTTGGCCTTTCCTGGGTCTGCAATACACTAATTTCAGGAAACGAAGCACAAAGATCCTACCGTACGATCGCGAATGATGCGGTAACGTGACAGACACACGTCCGTGAAAATACGAATTAAAGACCAGTCTGGAACACATGGTGTCCGTGCGTAAACTAAAATGCCAATCGTAAGTAAAATTTGCGGGAATGTTCATGAAACTATGCAAACGCAGCGCGACCAAGTATTTCTGCGAAATTAAGGTTAAATTCGCCGATCGACATATGGTAGCTAAAATCGCAGACGTGCGGTGGCAATCAAAAAGACCCGCTGTACTATGACGAGTTTAACCTCTCGCGACCGGTGTGTTATGTGGTGAAAGGCACGTCGCTTATGGAGGCACAATATCTCACCGGATATGGAATTAAAGGCGGCGAAGTCCTCGTTGCCGGTGCCGGTCATCGTCGTGTGATCGTCGGTGACTTACTTCTGATGTGCGGCGAACACGCGACGAATTGCTACCACGCAACGAACATCCTCCACGAGAATCAACGCGTTAATGCGCGGTGATGTGCAGCGCATCGCCGCCGCGACAAAGGGCAACTCCAACCGGGAATGGGCGATGTTCGACTGAGCTGAATCGAGATTCGATTCAATTCTTGCTCGAGGATCGATCATCTTGTCGATATTTCCAACCTGCATTAAGACCGTATCACACTAGCGACTCGCGACTGCGACTGCGGCTGCGATTGCAATTGCGATCTTCCTCAACCAATCAGAAAGCCGTACAAACGACAGCCGCAGCCGCGAGTCGCCAGTGTGATACGGTCTTTATGTTGCGGCTCGTGCAGTACGCGTATTGTGTAATTTTTAACGCGATAAAATCCGATAGAACCGTTATTACCCTTGTGTTGTCGTCACGTATATTTCTTACTATATATTTATTTATCTAGCATATATTGCATTTGCGCAACCACAATGTAACGATAACGACACTTGTTGAAGGTTACAATGTTGATTTGTTGCTTGAACTTGGAATTTTCAGTAGTAAATCTGATTGTCAAATCATGATTTTTATTTTTTTCTAATTTGCGAATTGAGATAAAAGTTTATCGGATCCGCCATATTGATTCATTGCCGAAGAATTCAAAGTTTGTCTGATTTGGTTTGATTGATATTACACGCAATACTTTTCCATTTGCCATTGATTCTTAGTTTAGAATAAAAGGTCTCACTGTTTGTTGTATCGTGATACTTGAAAATATAAGTTTTCTAACTAATAAACTGTAAAATTAAAGAATATAAAGTACCTGCGATTTGTCGACGAGTCGTTCTCGAATTTCCGTGGAAAAAAGGAAAGAAGAAGATGGCGACTCGTAGCGGATACCAGAGAGGGGAACATGAAAGCGACCAACACGGTGTTTTCGACGACACCGACTTTCCGCACTGAGAAAGGGCGCCATCTGCATCCATTTTGAGAGGGGAACTACGATGCTACATCCACTATCAAGTTTCGGCTGTAAAACCTGTATGTGGTGGCAGTCCGTACTACATCCATTTTAGGCGGTTTATGTCCGTGCTACAACCATAATAGCTTGACAAAGTACTTGACAAGCACGGTCTCGCACATTGTTACGCGTTTAAACCATGAATTAACATGTTAACATGTGCAAAAAAAAAGAATTGACATTGTGTATGATTAATATCATGAAGATCATACGAAGTGTCCGGTAATTAGCTGCCAACCCGAAGTGTGAAGGTAGATTGGGTTGAGACAAACATAAAAGTCCCATACCATTTTGTGAGATTCGCAATAATTATCGAGTTATTAATGGCAGAAATCTGAGGAGTAAAAGCGCGCTGACATAGATGATTCGAAAAGCGTTGTAGCTGCTCGGGGCAGCGATCATGAATCTTTTCCCTAGCGTGAACTAATAAAAAGTGAAAGACTTCTGTGAATCAGTGAAAAATGAAAAATTTTATATAAATTTATGAAAATCGAAACATTTCACACGACAATTGAGTCGTTCAACATGGCAGTTGCGCGTTCTGGGTAATTCAATGAATACCAAAGAAATCAAAATGATCAAAATAATAATGTCCGTGTAGTCCGAAGGATATTATCTGACACGCAAAATCCGTTTGATATAATATCCAAAGAAAATGTCTCAAAATATGTATGTACAGGTAATATAAACCTTATGCACCGACGAGATATACTACAAAGACTGATGGCCTTACGGGATTTAGCGTACCAGAGAAATTTCCCTGGTGAGGTACCCAGGTGAAAGAGACCATCTCGCATTTAGCGCAGTAAAATTTAATGGAAACTAATACTTGTCAATCCTTTTCTTCGGATCAAAAAGATTCAGAAATCAGACATATTCAAAATGTCGATACTTTTTAATACGTTTCAATTCGACATTTTATACAGGGAAGCAGGACGAAGGGAATGGGATGCGGGTAACGATACATCATGCGTCTCCAGACGTGTCAAATCGTTTATTATAGAGGAGACTTTGATATAGCAACATGTATTCGAATATTTAATCGCCCCATGGACCACTTATATATAATAAAAAAAATAATTAACGTGGATAAATAAACGATTCGTATCAATTTTTCTTTTTCTTATAGAGCAATGAAAGAGTAAATCAGTATCGAAAATCGAATACCGATTAATACCATAAATGAGTGTCAGAAAATTGTCCAATGACAATTTGTCCTCATTTTTCAGGTAGTTACCGCTGTAATTTACATAACAAATTAACTCGGTTAAACGAACGATTCGTATCAATTTTTTTTCTCTTATAAAGAAATGAGAGAATAAATCAGTTCCGAATTTTTTTTTCTCTTATAAAGAATTTTTTTTCTCTTATAAAGAAATGAGAGAATAAATCAGTTCCGAAAATCGAAGGCCGATCAATACCTAATTTATACATCAAATTAACGCGGACTAATGGACGATTCGTATTAATTTTCTGTTTTCTTATAGAGAAATGAAAGAATAAATCAGTATCGAAAATCGAATATCGATCAATCAACCGTAAATCAACGTCAGAAAATTGTCCACGTGCAATTACAATTTGTTCTTATTTTTTAGGTATTTACCCCTCTAATTTACTCAACAAATTAACTTGAATAAACGAATGATTCGTATCAATTTTTCTTCTCTTATAAAGAAATGAAAGAATAAATCAGTACCGAAAATTGAAGACCGATCAATATTTAATTGTATGTATACTTTATTGATTCCCCTGGTGGGGTTACAAATTCCAATATAATCTCTCCTTCTTACTTCCTATTACGCTCGCCCCTATCTCCTCGCACACACACACACACACACATACATTCCCATCCTCCGCCCCTCCTTAAATCTACTTTACAAATATCTTACATCTACTCGCTCGCTTATCTCTTATAATTAATTGTTCGCTTATCATCTATTCTTATACATATGTATATATCTATATTTCTATGCCGCTGTTACTCCTATAATTCTTATTTCCTACCGCCGATTTTCGCTTTCCTCCATTCATTTCATTCCTTCACACTTTCTCCTTCGCGCTCTCTCTCTCATCCATTTAATCCTCCTCGTCCTCCCTCTCGCTCCCCCCACTCCTCTACTCTCTCCCCCCACTCTCATCCCCGCTCTCCCACCCACCTTTTCTAGCAGCCTTTCTACCACCTATCTCCATCCCTCTCCCTCTCTCCCCGCCATCGTGCACAATCAAATTAACGCGGATAAATGAACGATTCATATCAATTTGTTTTTTTGTAGAGAAATGAAAGAGTAAATCAGTACCGAAAATCGTATATCGATTAATACCGTAAATCAGTGTCAGAGAATTGTCCAAGTGCAATGACAATTTGTTCTTATTTTTCAGGTGCTTACCCCTCTAATTTATTCAACAAATTAACTCTGTTAAACGAACGATCCGTATCAATTTTTCTTTTCTTATAAAGAAATGAGAGAATAAATCAGTACCGAAAACCGAATACCGATCAATACCTAATTTTTTCATCAAATTAACGCGGATTAATGAACGATTCGTATTAATTCTCTGTTTTCTTATAGAGAAATGAAAGAGTAAATCAGTAAATCGAATATCGATTAATATTATAAATCAGTGTCAAAAAATTGCACACGTGCAATGACAATTTGTTCTTATTTTTCAGGTACATACCCCTCTTATCTTATTCAACAAATTAATTGAGATAAACGAACGATTCGTATCAATTTTTCTTGTCTTATAAAAAAATGAGAAAATAAATCAGTGCCGAAAATCGAAGACCATTCAATATCTAATTTTTTCACCAAATTAAAGCGGATAAGTAAACCATTCGTCTGAATTTTTTCTTTTCTTATAGAAAAATGAAAGGAGAAATCAGTACCGAAAATCGAATACCGATCAATATCGAATTTATTCATCAAATTAACGTGGATAAACAAACGATTTGTATCAACCTTTTTTTCTTTCATAAAGAAATCAAACACTAAATCAGTACCGAAGACCGGATATTGATCAATACTATAAATCAGCGTTAGAAAATTGTCTAAGTGCAATGACAAGTTGTTTTCATCTTGCAGGTACTTACCCCACTAATTTACTCAACAAATTAAGTCGAATAAAAGAAAGATTCATATCCATTTTTATTCTCTTATAAAGAAATTAGAGAATTAGTCAGTACCGAAAATTGAAGACCAATCAATATTTAATTTATTCATCAAATTAACGCGGATAAATGAACGATTCGTATGAATTTTTTTTTCTTGTACAGAAATGGAAGAGCAAATCAGTACCAAAAATCGAATATCGATCAATACCGTAAATCAGTGTCAAAAAATTTTCCAAGTGCAATGACAATTTGTTCTCATTTTTCAGGTATTTATCCCTCTAATTTACTTAACAAATTAAGTCGGATAAAAGAACGATTCGTATCAATTCTTAATCTGTTATAAAGAAATTAAAGAATCAGTCAGTACCGAAAATTGAAGACCGATCAATAGTTAATTTATTCATCAAATTGACGCGGATAAATGAACGATTCGTATGAATTTTCTGTTTTCTTATAGAGAAATGAAAGAGTAAATCAGTACCGAAAATCGAATATGGATTAATACTATAAATCAGTGTCAAAAAATTGTCCAAGTGCAATGACAATTTGTTCTCATTTTTCAGGTACTTACCCCTCTAACCTTATTCAACAAATTAACTCGGATAAACGACCGATACGTATCAAATGTTTTTGTCTTATAAAACAATGAGAAAATAAATCAGTACCGAAAATCGAAGACCGTCCAATATCTAATTTTTTCATCAAATTAACGCGGATAAATGAACAATTTGTATCAATCTTTTTTTCTTTTATAGAGAAATCAAAGACTAAATTAGTATCGAAAACCGGATATTGATTAATACTATAAATCAGAGTTAGAAAATTGTCTAAGTGCAATGACAAGTTGTTTTCACCTTGCAGGTACTTACCCCACTAATTTACTCAACAAATTAAGTCGGATAAAAGAACGATTCGTATCAATTTTTATTTTCTTATAAAGAAATTAGAGAATCAGTCAGTACCGAAAATTGAAGACCGATCAATATTTAATTTATTCATAAAAATAACGCGGATAAATGAACGATTCGTATTAATTTTCTGTTTTCTTATAGAGAAATAAAAGAGTAAATCAGTAC